TGTGGGGCCGGCCGGCTGGCTGGCTGGCTGGCCAGCCGGCTCCGGGGAGGCAGCGGCGGCGGCGAGGCCCGGCTTCCTCCCCCCCGTCGCCCGCCAGCCCGCCAGCTGGTCCGAGGCGGCGGCAGCGGCGGCGGCGTTGCAGAGCGTCTCCTGCGCATGCGCAGGAGACGGTCTTGCACTTTCGGGGGTATTTAAACATCCCCCCGAAATTTTTTAAAACTTTTTGTATTTTTGTGCACACGTGGGGACTGGCCCACGTGTGCACAAACCTCCCCCGGCCCCCCAGCTGCCCCCTCCGTGCTGATTTAGCGATCCGCACGGAGGGGGCAACTTGGCTATTAGATATATAGATACTACCAGTTTGCATCAAGTAATGTTGGCTGCTACCAGTCACCCAGGCAGAGTGTTCCAGAATAATTCACAGCTGTTATACCAACACAAAGTCAAGTTTCCTCCTAAACATTTATTGCCTGGCACAAAGGATGAGAAGGGCTGTTTTATCAAAGTGTTAAACATGGAATCTAGAGGACAATCTACTGACAAGGCAAATTTCCCCATTTGATAGTTATGTGATATAGATTTTCTTCAGTTGAGTTCTGTGCAGCATATCAGAGAAACAAGGGTGTCAAGCAGGTTTCTTTCATTTTCCCCAAGTGTTTCAGATGCAATCAATCAAATTATATCGTTTACTTACCAACAATAGTACGCCCATCTCCTCCTAATTTTACTCTGAGGGGCTTTCCTTGTGAATCTTGGAGATACCTTCCTTCAACATTTAGCAGTAGCCCTCTGTCAAGATCTACAATCTAAAAGTAACATGTAGATTGAAACGTTCCCCAATATGAAATAATACAAAATTAAATCTTGCAAATATTTTATATGTTCAAACAAGGTCACCCTACCCACTTTACTCCTTGTGGACCATTTATTATTCTCTGTCCATTTCGTTTTCCATTACCCCCAGGTATTATTTTATTATTTAGATCCAGTTTTGTTGTTAGGTTGGGTCTGCCACCATTACCTGAAATATACATGACACAAAATATACAGCCTTCGTCATCTGATGCTTGAGCGAAATTACACTTCGCAACATTAACAAATTCATACAGGTTGAGTCCCATGACTCCCTTCTGCTAACTGAAAGCCTTCCTCCAACAGCAGATGGCAGTCACAGGACCCATCCAAATATTTGTATTTATTTATTTTGAAAAGTTGTATAATGCCACTCTAGGGAACCTGCTCAAGGGGGCTTATTATTGGTTTATCTTGTGCATTTGCCACAGGCTTGCTAAATCTTCCATGTCCAGTGAACCCCAGAAAACCTAGCATTACACATTCACTCTGAACACAAAAACAGCTTGAGACATTAAGCAGTATAAATGTGTCCTTTAAAACAATTCTCAGGCTGTAAGTACATCAGAACAATAATGTTAAAATATCAACCCTTTAATTAAAAGCCTAGGTTAAAAAATGTTTTGGTCTGGTGCGTAAAAGGCAGGAGGGTCTTTGATGTAATGCAAGCTCAAATCAACTTGCATATGAACGATTCCTTGACTTTTAAAGTCACATATGAAAATCACATCAATTACATTACTCTCATTATCTTCCATAGGAATAAGCCGCTTGCATGTTAACCTCACACAGATGCAAGTGATTTGTCATCAGTGGCTTTGCAACTGATATAGTTCCATCAGTATTTTACTACAGGCTTATTTAGACAATACATATATTTCGCCTGGTGTATTGCCATCCCAGTTTTGCCATGTTACATTTCTACATGCTACAGTATTCAGATGGCATCCAATGAACAGACTTGGTTTAACTGACCTAACAAAATAACATACTGATTAAATTATCTTCTACATTTATTCTTAGACAGTGAATTAGCAGCCACCAGTGTGGCATGGTAGAATCAGCAGACTGCTAACAATTTGGTTTGAAGAGGAAATGATACAAGGAACACAAAGGGAATATAACTTCTCCTGAGGTATTAGAACTGACAGATGGGACAAACAAATTCCTCATAACACGATGAAGGCTGAGAACTTCTTATAACAAAATATCTGTAAGTTAATCTAACAGGGGAGGGGAATTCCAAATAACAAGCATTCATGAAACCATAAAACACAATACCTTGTCTATGAGGAACTCTAGCTTGCTGCCATTGGGAAGGATTTAATAATCTTGACTGCTGTTTTCGCTGACTCGTGGACACTGAGGGAGAGGATGAGGAATGTGTTGGAGAAGCAGAGTGGGTGGGATGAAGCTGAGAAGGTTTAGAAGAAGATCCAGAGGAGTGTGGCAAAGCCAAATTTATTTTAGGCAAGGTATTTGATTTGTTAGGAGTCTGTGAAGACCTGGAAGTTAAAGAAGCAGATCTACCCAAAGGTGCAGCATTTGATATTCTGGATGTGGGACGTTCCTCCTCCATTTCTTCCTCTTGTTTATATTCTTCCTTATCAGGAAATCTTTCTTTGTGTGGCAAAATAGGGTTTGGCGATTTATTTTTATCACTAGCAACATCATTTTTCACATGTTTACTGTCTCTAGAAATGGAAGAAGATGACCATCTTGACACTGAAGATGATGTGGGATTTTCCTCTGTTTCTGACTGATCATAATCTTCATAGTTATCATTATTGTCTGAAAGTGATTGATGCATTTTAGAGTAACCTGTTTTGGGATAAAGCTCAACTTTTGTTGGGGTGGGCTGGGTGAGTCCATATTTTTTGTCTGTTTGGGATGCTGTCCTAGTAGGGACTTTAGAGCCTGGCTGCGAGTGGGGTGCTGAAGAATGAGTCTGCCTCAGATTAGTTGAGGATGCTTTTGAAGATAAGGAAGTTCCTCTACTGTACTGATGGTCTTTGGCTATGGCACTAACAGAGGTAGATCCTGGTCGAACATACTTGGATCGATGGGAAGTCACAGGTAGTTTATATGCATTAGATGTATCTTCGTTAGAAGTAATAAACTGTGTACCAGTAGGCTTTCCTATTGATGAACCTCTGGAGGAGGTTACAGATTCCCGTCGATTTGGGGATCTTTCACCAGATTTACTAGTGTGAGAATTAGAATGCTTTAAAAGAAAGGAGTCTGTATTTCCCTGAGATAAGGATGTAGATATTCTCCTAGATGAAGAAACATCTTTGGTAGGTACTGAAGGAGAAGCTCTCTGTTCCTCTTTATCATGCACCCCCTTATAATAGTTTTCACCTAAACTGTCACCTTCCTCATCCTCCAGTTTTTCTTTATTTTGATAGGATGTCATTGTGAGGTGGCGTTTAGAATTTAATAAGGGTTGATGTTGTGACTGATCAGTTACTGCCTTTTGGGAGTGGCTAGGTTCTGGATGGAGTGTTTTGCGGGATAAAGCATGAGAACTTCCAATTGTTTTTTTAGACAATAATGGAGTTTGAATTGACTTGGCAGACATGTCATCTTTTGTCTCTGGATCATCAGGTTGGTACATGGAAGGAGGAGTTTGTAAAGGAGCTGACTTTTCCATAGATGTCCTTGAAAAAGAGTCAGTGGAGGAGGTTGAGCCTCTGGATCTTGTACTCTGGCCATTTGCTAACCTTTGAGAAGCACTAGAACTGGAGCGATGGTTTATTCTACTTAACGATGGAAACTGGCCAGATACTGAAGACAATGAATCTTTGCGTGACGAAAATATTTTTGTATCTTTGTTTCCCCTTTCTTTGCCAAAGCTTTCCTCTTTTACATTTGTTGGATTAGATTTGTCAGTAGGTGCAATTATGTGAGGATTACTCAATTCTGTCAGAGAACTCCTCCTTCTAGAATAGTCCACTGAAGAAGATTGTTTAGAAAAAGATGATGAATAACCATGGTGAGGAGTTGAGGGTAGAGGATGTTCTTCTTCACCCTCCAGTTCTTTATGCGTGTTAGTGTTGGCTTTAAGTTTGTGAACACTACCTGATGTTACGTGTGAATGAGACTCAAGATGCACCTTTGATGGTGGTGTAGAGGAGGGGGCTTCAGAGGGCTGTGTCCTGGCATCTTGAGTGTTACCAACTTTGTTTGCAAATCGGTTGGCAGTGAGAGCTGATCTGTATTTGAACAAATTAAAGCGTTCAGACACAGGTTGGCCTGAAGATGGCTTAGATCTAGATGAAGATCTTTGTCTGTTTTCTTTGTTTTCTTTTTCACTGTTTTCACTGTTGTTATCATCAGAATCATCTCTTTCATTAGGATTATTTTTAGCAGAAGATGAGCCATGTGAGTGAGGTAAAGTATGAGTAGCAGCTGCAGAAACAGCAGAGGTAGCTACTCTTGAATCTCTTAATGTGTGGCGGTTGAACTGAGAGACAGATTTTCTTTGCATAGCTGTAGAAGACCCACCCTTAGAAGAAGAAAGCCTGGAACTTGGTTTTTGCTCTCTCTCTTCTGTTTCTCTACTCTTATAAGTGTCAGGAGTATCACTTGTATCAGAGGAAACTAATTTATTAGCAGGATAGCGGGAATGTTTTTGAGAACTTGTAGGTACAGATGCAGAAGACTTCAATGATACTGAGGGAGTAAGCAATTTGGTTGGATGAAGCACCTTCTGAGATGCAGAAGGCTGTCGATTTGAACTTAAAATCAAATGAGTGTCTCCTGGAGTTTTAGAAGACATTACTGAAGTTTTCTCTATACTATCAAGTTGATCATTATCAGGCAGATTATCTAAAGTGACTTCAGGGGAAGAATGATGGTTAGAGCTATCATGTCTGGTATTCTTTGTTTCACTTTCTGTATCTTTAGGAGGGGAAGAAGATGCTGATAAAGAGACTGAAGTGTGTGTTGAGGAGGCAGATGGTGACAACCTTTGCTTATCAGTACTTATCTGCCCAGTTCGTACAAGTGTACGTGATCTAAGTGCTGTTCTACCTGAGGAAGGAACAGAATGTGAAGGTTTGACAGAAGAATGAGGTCTAACATTGCTTTTAACATCCTGAATTTTGGACGGTATTGATGTCCTATGGGAGGAATCATGGTCACTAGTGCCTTCAGTGGAACGAGAATCAATTTCCGATTCCATTCTTCTTCTAGAAGTTAGCTGAGTTTTTGGGGGGAGCGAACTACCAGATAAGAATTTATTCTTGAAGTCAGAAAGCAGACTTTCTGAATCTCTTCCATGAGGGACACTGGATGAATGACTTGAAGTATGCTTAGAGATATTTTCAGACAAGACAGAAGAGGTTCGGAAAGGGGAGGATGGTTCAGTATTCCTAGATGTTTTAATTTCCAGTGCATCTTCAGTGTGTGTTTGTTGTCTGGACTTTGATTCAGGTATACTGGCTGGGGAAAAAAGAACTACATTAACACAGATATCTATAAAAGAAAAGAACGAATACATCAAAACTTGTTCAAGGAAATCTACTTTTCAGCAAACCAAATCTATGATTTAAATTTTCAACCTCATAAATGTCAATAGTTCTTATCTTGAATTTACAACCCTTGTTTAGAATGCTATAAGAGCCATAGAATTAAAGCAGAAAGGAATATTCACAACTATGCAAAACTTTGAATTTGGATTCAAACTTTAACTATAAAATGTAAGCTCAAAATATTAGCACTTAAAACATCTGGTATCTTTTGACGGTGTAGATTTGGCAGGCATTGTACATGAAACATCATAAGTAGACAACTATTAAGTACTGTCAAATACTAAATATTACTTATCAAATGATCTCATTGCATGCAAACTGTAAAATACTGTGAAATATTATATATCAAATGATATGTAATATTTCACAGTTGTGTACTGAAATCAAGTATCAAAGTTAAATGCTGAAATAAAACATCATCACCTCTTATAAAGGCATCAAATATTTGAAGAAATTTGCGCATTCAAGCGTACATTAAGTTAGAGGGGGGGAAATAGAATTTTCCAATCGTACATGGAAATTAGGGGTGTGCATTCAGATAAATTCAAGTTGAAAAAAATATTTGAAAAATACTTTATTCGTATTTTCTGGATATTCTTTCAGCCAGATATAGATTTAACTATTTTTCAGTATCCAAAATGGTTGAGCACCAAAAATCCCAAAAATATTTAGGATTTCCGGGACCACCAGATAGCTGAAGTTAAAGGGTTTTTAAAGGGATTGCAGTCCTTTTATATGCTTTCCAGGTGAACTCACTGCTTGGAGGTGTTTAAAGGGACTGCAAGCCCTTTAAATGCCTTTGGATTTCACTTGTAGAGACGCAGCTTGGAGAAGGCATTTCTTTCCTCCACTGAATCCAATGGAGGATAGGGACACCTTCATTGGGGCCCATAGAATTGGACCCCCTGGTTCAATCTTTTTTAAACTTAGGGAGTTTTTTGAGGAGAGGCACCAGCAACGATGCTGCAAATTTGGTGCCTCTGCCTCAAAAAACAGCCCCCCCAGAGCCCCAGATACCCGTGAATCGATTCTCCATTATACCCTAAGGGGACCATTGACTATAATGGAGCAGAAATTATTCAGGATTTTTGAAAAATCCCAAATCCAAATACTATACCAGTATTGGGATTTGGGAATATTGGAAAACACTGATATTTTTCAGGTTCAATATAGCCAAACCAGAAAATACAATTTTTTTGGCACACTCCTAATGGAAACCTAACGTAGTTTAGCTAAACTCATTTCTCTCTCTCAGTTCACTGCATGCTTGCAACAAATTCAGTGATTTTCTGCATACAGATTATATTATTGCTATTAGCATGGTCACAATAATAAAAACAAAAAGAGTGAAAAATGACAGAAAGAAAATTGGTAGATTGAACCACAAAAATACCATGCTTACTTGCTGGCAGAATAACACTGAAGGCTTTAGACTGAGGGCCTTGTCCCCTCCTGTTTCCTGCACGAATTTTGAAAATATATCGTTCCCCAGGCTCCAGATCATCCACTATGGCAGACGTAGTTTCTCCCGGGTAGGTAATGGACTTTGCACCGAAGGGCTTGAGAGCAGGGGCGTATGAGAGAATGTATTCTGAAATGATTTGGCAGACGGTTGGAAGGAGGAAACTGAAAACAATCCTGTTTCCAGCGGACAGACTGTATGGGTAGGATGAATTAGAACGTGCATTACTAAAATTAATACACTGTCAATGCACGTCAAGTCAACAGCTGGGGTATAAAAGACATAAATACACAGTAAGTTGAACAAACATTTAATCAGCCTTTTAAGACATAAATGTCCAAATATATATGTAAATGATTGCCCCAGACTCTATCACTACTGCAGCCATCAAGATATTTTACATACACATAAACAACATAATGGATTAGCTATTTATAAAAACAAGAGAAAAGGCTCCCAGACTACAGCTACACAGTTAATGTAGCCAAGAAACATCAGCACACAGTGGTTTACATTACCTCTGTCGTTACAACTCTAAAGATGCTGACAGATAATATTTTCAGCATCACAACCATGATCATCATCTTATGTCAGGCTAATAACATGGACATCGCTGCTACATGACTTCAACCTGCCTTACTGGAGTAGCATGACAACCTGATCTATAGGACTTCTCAGCTCTCCCCCAGTCCAGTATCACCAATCTAGGAAACCAGGGCAAAGATGGCATGGGGATATGGTTGCCAGCTCTGGTTTGGAAATTCCATGGGGGTGGAGGACTTGGGGGTGAAGCCTGCAGAAGGTGGGATTTGGGGAGGAAAGGGGCCTCACAAGGTACAATGCCATATAGTCTACCCTCCTAAGCAGTCATTTTTCTGGAAGAACTGATCCCTCTAGTCTGGAGATCAGTCATTTAATATGTGTCATCTGGAGATCACTTGCAATTCCTGGAGATCTCCAAGTGCTACCAGGGAGTTGGCAGCCCTACATGGGCAAGAGCCAGAAAACAGGGTCCTCCTCTGTGGCTCATGGCTTCTCAGCATTACTTCAGCAGTATCAAAAGAAGCAACACTTCAGCAGTCCCTGCACTGCTAGCGTAAAGTAAACTTATGAGACTTTTCATCCATAATGACATGTAAATGTAAGTTAAGATATGCAGCATTCAAATGGAGGACACCGTATGGTTACTTCTAGGATTTATTTTATTTGTGTTGTTATCAGGGGGGAAACCCTATGATGATTAACCATGGCTGTTCTACAAAGCCCCAACATAACCTCTACATGTTTGAAAACGTGCATGACTGTATTCTCCTCCATGTTTTTTTTAAAAAACTTCCACAGATATAGTTATATAATTCTAGCCTAGGATTCTTTCTGATATACACGTAATCCATGCAGGGGATTTTCTTCATGGGAAAGCACTCCCAGACCTAAAGTCTGAAGTGAGTATCTTCCACACAGGGACAGGCTTGTGCTATCTCCCCTTGCGGCTGCTGATACTGTGCAGTGGCAATGGGGCTTCCACATGGCAGTTTCCCCATAGTTTGCCTGCCTCAGTCCCCCAACAAAGATATGAAGCCGAATTACACAGTAAAAGAGAACAAAAAAGCAATAAACTGTGTAATGAAACTCACCACGCAACCAATAAATAAATATATAACATCTATTGAGATACAATTATTATTATTTATTTATTATTTTCATAGAATTATAGAATGTTACAGTTGGAAGGAATCTTGCAGGTCATTTAGTCCAACCCCCTGCACTCTGCAGGAGCATAGCCAAAAGATAGCCCTACAACCAGGGCTCTTTTTGTAGCAGGTACTCATTTGCATATTAAGCAACACACCCCTAATGTAGCCAGTCCTCCAAGAGCTTACAGTAGCTCCTGTAAGAAGAGCTCTGTAAGCTCTTGGAGGATTGGCTACATTAGGGGGTGTGGTGTAATATGCAAATGAGTTCCTGCTACAAAAAGAGCCCTGGAACATACCCGAAAGATGGTCGTCCAGCCTCCGCTTGAAAACGTCCAGTGAAGGAGCATCCACCACCTCCCGAGGCAGACTGTTCCACTGCTCAATCACTCTTACAGTTAAGAAGTGTCTCCTGATATTTAGCTGGTAGCAACTCCCTTGTAATTTCTACCCATTAGATCTAGTCTTGCAATCCAAAGCAAGAGAGAATAGATCTGCTCCATCTTCTACATGACAGCCCTTCAAATACTTGAAGACTGCAATCATGTCCCCTCTAAGCCTTCTCTTTCCCAGGCTAAACATACCCAACTCTTTCAGCCTTTCCTCATGAGACTTGGATTCCAACCCTTTCACCATCCTGGTTGCCCTCTTCTGGACACACTCGAGCTTGTCAACATCCTTCCTAAAATGTGGTGCCCAAAACTGGACACAGTACTCCAGGTGAGGCCTGACCATAGCAGAATAGAGTGGAACTACCTCCTCCCATGATCTGGACACAATGTTTCTGTTAATGCATCCTAAGATTGCATTAGCTTTCTTCACAGCCACATCGTACTGCAGGCTCATGTTTAGCTTGCGATCAACCAGAACACCCAGATCCCTTTCACATGTGCTGCTGTCAAGCCAAGTCCCTCCCATTCTATATCTGTGCCTTAGATTTTTTGTACTTAAGTGTAGGATTTTGTACATCTCTCTACTGAAATACATTTTATTTGTCTCAGCCCACTGTTCCAGCCTATCTAGATCATTTTGAATCCTGACTGTCTTCTTCAGAATTAGCAATCCCACCCAGCTTCGTGTCATCTGCAGATTTCATAAGCATCCCCTCTATGTCTTCCTCCAGGTCATTTATAAAAACATTGAACAACACCAGGCCTGGGACCGAGCCCTGTGGCACTCCACTTGAGTCTTCCCTCCACGTAGACGCAGAGCCATTTACGAGCACTCGTTGGGTACAATTTTTCAACCAACCATGAATCCATCCAACGGTTGCACCATCCAGCCCACACTTAACCAGTTTATCCTCAAGGATATATATTATGAGAAACTTTGTCAAATGCTTTACTGAAATCTAGATACACTATATCCACAGCATTGCCAGAGTCAACCATTTTAGTAACTGTCAAAAAAGGAGATAAAGTTGGCCTAGCATTACTTATTCTTGATAAACCCATGCTGGCTACTACCAATTAACTCATTCTGTTCAAGGTGCTCATAGACAGAGCGTTTAATATTCTGCTCTAGAATTTTCCCAGGTATTGATGTCAAACTGACAGTCCCATAATTTCCTGGGTCCTTTTCCCCCCTCTTCTTGAAGATCGGGACAACATTAGCTCTTCTCCAGTCTTCCAGCACAACACCTGTACTCCAGGACATCTCAAAGAGGCTCTGAAATAACATCTGCAATTTCTTTTAGCACCCTGGGATGCAAGCCATCTGGCCCTGGAGATTTGAAAGTATTTAAGGCAGCTAGATGCTTTCTAACCATTTCCTTACTTACTCTGGACTGGCAGTTCCTCCTTCCTTCATATGCCCTGCATTCTTCAGTTTGTATACAGCTCACCTTACGGTTAAAGACCGATGCAAAGTGAGAGTTGAGTAATTCTGCTTTGTCTTCATCCTTTGTTAAAGCTTGACCGTCTTCCCCTAGCAATGAGCTTACCCCATCCCTGTTCTTCTTTTTGCTCTGAACATAGGCATAGAAATTTTTCTTGTTATTTTTAGCATCCCTCGCAAGCCTCAGCTCCATCTGTGCTTTAGCCTTTCTGACACCATCCCTACAGATTCAATCCTGCTTTTTGTATTCACGCTCAGTAATCTGACCCTCCTTCCATTTCCTGTACATTTCCCTTTTTAGTCTCAGCTCTTTAGAGAGTTCCTTGTTCAGCCACCTTGGCTTCATTACCCATCTCCCACCTTTCTTTCTTACTGGAACAGTTTGGAATAAATCCAGGATAGCAGATCCTCTGGTTCCCACCTCCACCTTCTGAGAGATGAAGTTGTCTGCAAGACTATTCAAGAATCTGCAGGATGCCCCATATCTAGCAGAGTTCAATTTCCAGCAAATATCTGGATAGTTGACATCTCCCATAACCACTACATCCTGTCTCTGTGAGGGTTTAGCAAGCTATCGTACAAATGCATCATCCAGTTCCTCCGGTTGGTTTGGAGGTCTGTAGTATACCCCCACAACAATATTCCCTTCTTTTTCCCCTCACTCTATCCTTACTTTCAACAGGGCAACTCTCAAAAGCCTGCATTTCAGTGCAAGTGTATTCATTCTTGACATATAGTGCCACCCCGTGCCACCCCACCTACTTTTTTGTTTATTCTATTCTGTTTGAACAAGGTATATCCTCCAATCGCTGTGCTCCATATATGAGACTCATCCTACCAAGTTTCAGTGATACCTATCAGATCATATGTACTTTCCAATATTTGAAGTTCAAGTTCATCCTGTTTATTTCCCATACTCTGTGTATTAGTATAAAGACATCTCAGATTACAGACATCCTTTCCTACCATAGGTCCCTTTGAATTTACCTGAAAATTACTGAACTCAACTCTCTCCCATTCATTTATTCTCTGGTCCCTCCCCTTCTTGAATTTAGTGTTGGGGATGCCGCACAACATCAGGCTTTTTCTTCCCAACCCCGATGTCTTCAGTTTAAAGCCCTCCTGATCAGGTTCACAAGTCTTCCAGCAAAGACATTCCTCCCATTCTTTGTAAGGTGCACCCCATCGGTCGCCAACAGCCCATGTCAGAGGTACATACCATGGTGCAGGGAGCTAAATCCCTCTCAATGGCACCATCTATGTAGCCAGCCATTCACCTCCAGTATCCTGTTCCCCCTTCCAGCTCCATGGCCCTCAACAGGTAAAATGGAGGAGAACACCACTTGTGCCTCCAGATCTTTCACCTTCTTGCCCAGAGCCTCATAGTCTTTGGAGATCCATTCAAGGTTTCTTCAGGCTGTATCGTTTGTTCCCACATGGATCAGCAGGAGCGGGTAGCAGTCAGAATTTTTTTTACCAGTCTTGGAATTCTCTCAGTCACATCTTGGATACATGCTCCAGGAAGACAACAAACCTCTCGAGATTCCTTGTCCGGTCTGCACACAGCTTCTTCCGTCCCTCTCAGTAGAGAGTCACCAACCACCACTACTCTTCTCTTCCTCCACGGGATAGCTTGATTCTTTCTCTGCCTATGTGCTTGTGTGTCAATTACATCCTTTCAATCTTGGATCATGCTATTCTGATCTTCCACCATCAGAAGCGGCTGGTAGCGATTTTGCAGCTCCACTGGCTGTGAGTGTTTCCTGGTTATCTTATTCCTCAAAGTCACATTCTTCCACTCACCCACCTGTTCCTTGTTACTTCCTTCCTCTTGCTTAGGATTTGCTAGCTCTTGCCATTCTCTCAGGAGCCCCTCTTCTGTCATGTCTAAAAACCTTTCTGCCTCCCTGATGTTCCTCAGTGTACAGATTTGTGCCTCGAGTTCTCCCACCTTCTCCTCAAGCATTCTTATAAGCTTGCATTTGCAGCATGTATAAGACATTTCATGGCATGGCAGAAAAATGATCATGGCACAACCAAGGCAGGTCACTGGAATAGATCCTTCATTATCCATCTTCCAAGGAGCAATGCTATCTTCTACAGCCTCAGGACCTTTCCTCAAACTCCGATGTAAACTTTTGTTGTGGTGATGTACCCTGAAAAATTTGAGACTGACCAAATGGCTACCTTGCCAGCAGGTCTCTCTCCAGAACTCAGTAGCAGCCCTCTACTCAGCTTCTTACAAGGCCTCCAAGCAAGACCCACAGGCTAAGAGCCACAGGACAAGAGGAGCAGCCCTTTGTTTCAAAAGGCCCCTTCCTGCCCAGCACAGCAGCGCCCAGCACAATAGGGGGCGGGGCTTGCAATCAACAGCACTCCACAGCAACTCACTCAGCCTCCAACAACCCCCAAAGCACAAGCAACCCCAAACAGACTTAAACAGAACCACTCTCTCAGGCTAAAAAGAACCCAACTCTCTCTCAGCTCCTGCACAGCAGCTAGGAAGGCAAAGGGAGAAAGAAAAATCCCCTACCTTCTATCAGCAACTCACTATGTGCTCCCCACTCCTTGCCTCCGCCCAGCTGACTCCCTCATATATAAATAAAATATACATTTTCTATTTATAAACTGCCTTTCCTGCACAGGCAGGCTCAAGGCAGCGTACAGCAGGCTAAAATACAATAAAACACAGATGCATAAGTGCAATACTATAAAATTCACATAGCAAACAATAGACATACAAAGTGCATTTAAATGCAGATGGCGATTGCTATATGATGGTCCGGTGTCGCTAAACCAGTATCCATAGTTGTTCTTAGTGCCACTAATATGAGGGTCATAACAGTTTTTAATAGCTCATTCCTCAGTGGTGGCTCCTAATCGAAGGCCTGGTGAATGAGCTCTGTTTTACAGGCCCTGCAGAACTGTAAGAGGTCCCGCAGGGCCCTGATGTCTTCCGCGAGCTCATTCCACCAGTATGGAGCCACCACTGAAAAGGCCCTAGCTCTGGTAGTGGCCAATCTGCCGTCTTTTGGACCAGGGAGAGTCAGGCAATTTTGCAATCCTGGAGGAAGGGAACCAACTGCCTAATCAGCCGTAGGTAGTAAAAGGCTGCCTTGGCAGTGGCTGCTACCTGGGCCTCCATTGTTAAGGCAGCATCCAGGAGCAGTCCCAAACTCCTAACCCTCAGTGCTGGCACCAGTGGCACCCCATCGAAGGTCAGTAGTGGGATCCCCACCCCTGACCCGCTCCGACTCAGGCACAGGACCTCTGTCTTCGTCGGATTTAATTTCAATCAACTCAGTCTAAGCCAGCCTGCCACGTCCTGAACCACTCGATCCAGGTCATCTGGGGTAGAATCGGACTGACCGCCCAACAACAGATATAGCTGGGTGTGCATATTGATGACACCCTAGCCTATGTCTCCGGGCAATCTGGGCAAGGGGGTGCATGTAGATGTTAAATAACATCGGGGATAGCACCGCCCCTTGGGGAACCCCACAAGCCAGAGGGTACCTCTGGGACGTCTGCTCACCTAACGCCACCCTCTGTCCCCGACCTTGGAGAAAGGAGACAAGCCATTGCAGGGCAAGCCTCTGAATCCCAGTGTCGGTGAGGCGGTGGATCAGTAACTGATTGTCGACTGTGTCGACCGCCGCCAACAGGTCCAACAACAACAGTACCACTGTGCCAGCTCAATCCAGATGCCTTTGAAGGTTGTCTGTGAGGGCAACCAGTGCCGTCTCTGTCCCATGGCCCGGACGAAAGCCGGACTGGAGAGGGTCTAGCATGGAAGTGTCATCCATAAAGCTCTTCATTGAAATGTATTTTCAATGAGCATGATAACCATTGTATATCAATAGATGTTATATATCTATTGGTTGCCTGGTGAGTTTCATTACACAGTTTATTGCTGTTTTTGCCTCAGTCCCCCAGCAGCAGCTGTCTCCCACACCCGGGCCACCATGGCCTTTTCAGGTCATTTGCGTTTTAAATCAATGCTTGAGTATCATTATATTGTTATAATGTTGTGTCAGTTTGTGCATCAGGTTCTCTGAATACCCAGAGCCAGATTTTTATAGAACTAAGTGCAAAAGAATATCACTGGGTCCCTCCCCCAACACACCCATCCCAAAAGAATACCTGAACCCCACCTCCCCACAACAGATCCGTACTGAAAGAATATCTCTGCTTCAGAATCTGACTCTAAAGCCTAGTTCTCAAAGCAAATTTCCTCCCTTGCCTTCCCCCTTGGTGCTGCTGATGGAAGGGAAACAAATGCCTTACAGGAGCTGTAGGATTCATATTTTACTTCTAAAAAGTTATATCAGAGATCAACATGACTGAAAATGATGTGAAGATAGGTGGAGGGAGCTACTGTTTTTAAAAAAAATATGAAACTGACTCTGTACCAAACCTTTAGAAGACTGTGCAGTACAGAAAGTGTCCAATAGCAATAATTATATGGAGCAGGCATTCTCCATAATGGGTCATGTTTGGACAAAAATAATCTTCCTGCAAAGGCAAAACTTCAGCGCAAATTAAATTCTGGCATTTCCCCCATGATTTCCAAGCCAGAAACCAGAGTTACTTAAGGCAGCTGGAACAAACAAAAATGTGCATTTGACTCCAATGAAAATATTATGGAATAACTGAAATTATATGACTTATTTGAAAAGCCAGTAGATATTAAACTTACAGCTACAATCCAGATCTCCCACCACATAGAAAGAGATGGGAGAATAGCATCAAGCCCGTTAAAGAAACAGGAAATGAAGGGGGAGCTGAGAGTAGAAGGTGAGAGCTTCAAAGGGTAGGTATTTCCAGCCCTGGAATTTCCAGCATCCCACTGACACACATCCCTCCTGCTACGGTTCTACATGCCACAAGCAGACAGAATTTCCAGCACTGGCCAATCCACAACAGTTCCCCCCACACCTTCACTCTTACAACTCCTCCCTTCTGTGTAGAATCTGTGGGGGATATCATGCTGATCAATCATGCTGATGTCTGGGAATCAAAGGTAACAACCCTAAAATCCTGGGACATGTAGTCTGCTAAGGTGCTGCAAATTCAGTTCTTTAATATGCTTCCCCCCAGAATGACCATCTATTTGGCTCCATGAAGAAGAAAATGTCTATTTAACCAATTTAGACCTGTGGTGTGGATAAGCCCTGGGATGCAAAAAATCAAAGGCACTGCAGCTGAAAGCAAAACTGTATTCTTCCATCATTTTAGTGTCCCATTAATCACACGGTATGACAAATCATGTCAGTTTGGCTGCAAGCCATCAAACAGCAGACTACAGCTTTACTTTAAGGTATAGCAGCAGGATTTTAAGGCCTCAAGCAACATCACACACCTTGCAGTTCAGCTGGATGTCACAACTGAAAATTTCTTCTACATTTTATTCAGTGGCTTTTGGTCTAGAGCTTTAAAAATACTCTAATTTCTTCTGCTGCATATTTACTGAGTTTCCACATACCTTTTACTCTTCCTTCACTCTCTGGAAGAGCATCCCAGGTTGCAGCAACAGATGTTGCTTTGCCTTTTATTGGCAAAACTTCCAGGTTTTCAGGGGCACTTGTGGGAGCTGTGAAATAAATAGCAGGACCCCCCCACACACAAGTACAAAATGAGTAATGAGAATAATCCAGTTTCTCCCAGTGTTTGCATCACACTACATTGCAGTGCAACCATTTCAACCATTGCATGCAAATACATATTGCTCTGTAAGCAATGGGACCTTTCTACATTACGTTAGCTAGGCCTTGAACTGAATTCCAGGAAACCATGGCCTATTTTTCTCCACCCAATTTCACAATGATTCAAACAAGCAAGAGATGATCCAGATGGCAGCAATGAAAACAAAGTGCCTGGAAAATATGGCTTTTCTGCAAAATGACCAAAGGAACTGAACCCATTTATTTAAGAAAAAAAATTAAAGGCAGGTAAACACAACATGAAGCAATTAAGGCCTAGGGAGAGAGAGAACAATAGTTCACCAAGCCAGTAGAGGGGAAAAACACATTAATTGTTTTAATTGCTAAAGGGTAAGGGAGCCAGATGCACTGGTCCCATTTGTGGCAGCAGAAGTAGCACGTTTACAGTGCAACTCCTAAACAAAGTTACATCCTTCTAAACTCACTGACTTCAATAGAGTTAGAAGGGTGTAACTCTGTTTAGGACTGCCCTGCCAGTCAAATGGTTACAAATTTTACTCTTTTCAGTGGTGGCACTTGCCGATTTAGTTGTAAGTCATCAAGTGCTAAGTCACTGGATGCTGAGATGCTGAAAGATGTGTACTCATTTATGGAGTAGCCCTAAACTAACAGCTGATAGTTAAGTTCTTCTCTTTCACACACATGCACATACTTGAATACAATACATACCAGCTTCTGGGGTTCTTTGGTAAACAGAGGCACTCCATTTGCCTTCCTTTTCCCCCTGTGAGATGCGAACTGCAAATTCATACATAGTATCTGGAATCAGTTTATCCACCAGCACTCGCTTGTTGGGCACTTGCTTGTAATCCCACCTCGCTGATTCACCTTTCTCTCGATAACGGACAGTGTACTGCCTGGGAATACAGAGCAGAAACCACTGTAATTAGAATGAGTGCATAAAAACCAAGTTTAAATCTACCTAAGCCAATACACATCCAGCCAGCACACTGGCTTGCTTTATACTGAAGTTTTAGCTAAATCTATAAGGTTAACGGAAAGGACAAGTTTCCTTAGGTTTAAACTACATGGCACATCTATGATATAAACAGCTAATGCTGTTCCACAAAAGCTTGTGGAAGTGCTAGTGGAAGAGTTCATGAACTGTTATTATAGGTGTGGTCCAAAGCACTTCTCTTGCTTCCATTTGCACAATGGAACCCTCCACTACAGGCAGGTAGTTCCTTCCCCCCTGACTCTCCCAGTGTACTCTACTGGTATAATGAATTATAAGCACAGAAAAGCTTTCACTAAAGCGCACCTAGATATTCTACCACTTGCAGTTCTATAAGGCAACTTCAGTGGGATTCCATATAGTGAAAGGGTCTGCTCTTGTGACTAAAAATCTACTGAGGATTTATCCCATGTCACATTCCACCTGCTCGAGGTTTTGAGACTGAGTGCAAAAGATTGCTGAGGACCAATATATCTCATTTCCCAGGAAGGTTAGATCTGGAAAAACTAGTATTACTACTGGCAGATAGGGATTTTGTTGTTCAGTCACACAGTCGAGTCCGACTCTTTGCGACCCCATGGACCAGCTCCCGCCAGGCCCTCCGGTCTTCCGCTGACCTCTGAAGTTTGCTCAACTTCATGTTCGTTGCATCTATGACACTGTCTAACCATCTCATCCTTTGCCGTCCCCGTCTTCTTTGACCTTCAATCTTTCCCAGCATCAGGGTCTTCTCCAGTGAGTGCTCCCTTCTCATTTGGTGGCCAAAGTATTTGAGCTTCAGTTTCATTATCTGGCCTTCCAGGGAACAGTCAGGGTTGATTTCTTTTAGGCAGGGGTCATTTCGTAGAAAAAGAGCTAGGGGAACTCATTAGCATAACTCATTAGCATATGCCACACCCCCTGACATCAGGGGCCCGGCGGTGGACCTGCAAGGCCAGCGGGAGTGCGAGGAAGCCCCGCCAAGGCCCTCCCTGGCCCCAGGCAGGCAGGGGTGGGGAGAGGCGGGGAGGAAGCAACTTACCCTCCCTCTTCTCCTGCCTCCTCCTGGCTGAATGAGGGCCGGAAGCAGGGCTTTGAGGATTGACTGATTTGTTCTTCTTGCAGTCCAAGGGACTCTCAAGAGTCTTCTCCAGCACCATAGTTCAAAAGAATCTATTCTTCGGCGCTTGGCCTTCCTTATAGTCCAACTCTCGCAGCCATACATGACTACTGGGAATACCATTGCTTTGACCATGTGGACTTTTGTTGGCAGGGTGATGTCTCTACTTTTTATCATGCTGTTTAGGTTCGCCATCGCTTTCCTCCCAAGGAGCAGGCGTCTTTTAATTTCATGGCTGCAGTCACAGTCTGTGGTGATCTGGGATCCCAGGAACGTGAAGTCTGTCACTACTTCCACGACTTCCCCTTCTATTTGCCAAGGAGTGATGGGGCCGGATGCCATGATCTTAGTTTTTTTGATGTTGAGCTTCAAGCCCACTTTTGCGCTCTCCTCTTTTACTCTGAGCAAGAGGCCCTTTAGGTCCTCTTCACTTTAAATTCATGTTTTTTCTGAATGGCAAAGTCTGTTGCCACCATCATAAAAATAAAGATGACAATGAAGCATGCAGATGTAAGCGCAGTTGACCTGAACCCTAATTGCTTCACTCAGGGTCAGATTATAAAATGTATCATCACGTTTTTATTTTGCAAGATTTGAAATGATTATTATGTATTTTAACTTCTATGAAAATGTGTGGATATTCCTTGTTTTTACTTTGATGGAATCATTGTGTTGTTGCTATGGCTTATCCACTGATGCAATAAAGAATGACTGTTACAATTGTATTTTGTGAAGGAGCCAGAAATTTAACAGAACATTCCATGCATTCTGACAGAACTGTAATTCTCAAACTTCCTTGGGGAAACAGTGAAACAAGTCAGAATCCCTTTCTATCTTGCACTGGGAATGAACAGGATAGAATTCTCAATTCTTCCTCTGATGCAACATTCCATAACAGCCAGCCTCAAAGGCTGGGAAACGGATTTAGATGTATTTATTTATATCAGAAGTATATATAACACCTTTCCACACACAGACTCCAAGGTGACTTACAAAGATGCAAGTCACACAATTCTTCTATGGTGCTTTTATCCACTTGTTCCTATCGTGCTACAGTTAATGTGCTGAACTAACAGCAAACCTAGTACTTGAAGAATGATTTTCCATCCCTCACAAACAGCATTATTCTGCATAGTTCCCTCTCTTGCAGGGGCATGACCTACAAGTACAGCATCATTCACAACCCAGATGGATTGTGGGCACAACAGTGTTGATAGGTCATATCTAGACCTCAGCTGAGGATTGATGCCGAAAAAAGCCTACAATATTTGATGCTGATTAGTAAATGTGATATGCAGAGTCTTAGGTATGAATGGAATAATTTCATTTAAAAAATTATTTATGTTATTTATAGTCCACCTTTCTCACTTTGACTCAAGGCAAAAATCAGAGTAAGACAATAAGGAGCTAGATTGCCCTATTTTGCCAAAGCAAAGGGATATGGTTTTAAAGTTTATACCTATTCTCTACAGATCTTAAGTTGTGACTTAGCAAAAAAAAAGTTTAGGATATACTAGACACCACGGCAACTCTTTAGCAAAGGACTGAATAAAGTGTGTAACTGCTGGGATTGTAAGTCACAGGATGCATCCCTTAAACATACGCTTTGGGCATGTCCAATCCAGTATTCCCTCTAAGCTGAATTAAACCAATTTCACACAAGAGCTGCGCCGCGGTTGCACCTCCCTTTACCCCACTTTTATTGGTCAATTTCCCACTTGAAGCCACGGTTTCATGATTCTCAAAAAACAGGATCATGAAACCACAGGGAAAATCGGGTGAAGCCGCGGGTCAAAATGTGGCCACGTGGCTTCGAGTGGGAAATTGACCAATAGAAGTGGGGCAAAGGGAGGCGCGACCGCGGTGCAGCTCTTGTGTGAAATCAGTCTTAGTATGAGCTAGCTCACAGTTTTTTAGCCTCCAGCTCACACATTATTTACTTAGCTCAGGAAGGATGGCTTCAGAGCAAACTAATTTATGCATTAGCCAAATTGCTCACTCACAACTTTAATTCCAGTAGCTCACAAAGTAAAAATTCTGCTCACAAGACTCCACAGCTTAGAGAGAGTACTGATCCAGTCATTAATTACTCATATCAACTGGACTCTCCATGCCATTGCTACAGCTAAAATCTTGTGTTACAGGACTCGCATGCCCAGCCCTGGTGAATCAATGCATTGAGAATCTTAGGCTGTGGTCACACACACACACTAAATAATCCACTTTCAATCTACTTTCAGTGCACTTTTCAACTGGGTTTTACTGTGTGAACTGGCAAAATCCAGTTGGAAAGTGCATTGAAAGTGGATTAAAAGTGGATTATTTAGTATGTGTGACCACAGCCTTAGAGCTTTATTCATATTTGAATGTATGGCATACAGATGACAAGTGTATGGAGTTATTTTTAGATATTTGGAAACCTTTTATAGAAACTTATGGGTAGATCTGCCACCACTGCTGTTATACTTTTGTCTCTGTATATATATTTTTCTTTTTAAAATTTTTATTTAGTTGCTGGATTTTGAGTTTTCCCCTTCCCGTTCTCCTTTTCTCTTTTTTTTTAAAAAAGGAAATACATAAAATTATAATTCAAAAAGTGCAGATGACAGAAGTAAGATACACATCCAAAATTATAGAAATGATAGAACTGGCACTAGTTCAGTAAAGGTATGTTAATCAGGTGCTAATTGGGTATGAAATCACTCTCTTAATTTTATCTTGATGCCATTCTTTACTGATGTTATAATTAAGTGGAACTGGTACATCTTTGGTATACATGGAGTAAAAGCTGTATTATCTGACACTTGGTTTATCTGGACAACTTCATTAATTGCCCCCTGCTGCAGCTAGCAATATGTCTCAGAGTGGAAGGCCTATCCCTCCACAGTTGCTGTGGAGATGAGAAGGAAGACCCACTCACTGAGAAACAGACCTCAACTGATTCTCTCTGCTGCTTGACATCTACCACTAGCAGAACAAGGGAGGACTGACTGGGCAGCAGCCAAATCCCCCTGAGAGCAGCAAGAGCAGCTCATCAGGAAAGACAGCCCACTCCTCTAACACCTCTACCTTAAAGGTGATGAAGGCCGACCCACTTACTGCTGCCGATTTGATCCCTTGCTCAGTGCTGAAGCTCTTGGTGAGGGTAAGAGAGGGGGCAGGCCTTTTGCATACACCACAGCTTACAGCTGCAGAGCCATTTAAAGACTCTGTGGAGCATGGTGGCAGCACTGTAGCAGCTTAGCCAGCATGAAACAAGATGCAGGCATGCCAAGCAAGATAAGCCCCAACTTCCCCTCACTTCTTCTGGAGGAAGACCCAGGATGCTTGCCAACCCCCTCCCCTCTCTTTAATCATTTTAAATTGGTTATCTCTATTTTGCATGCGAAAGTAGAGAAAAGCTCTATTATCTACACATTTGATTGACTGTGTAATTTGGTCCACATCCCTCCCTCAAAGGCAAGATTTTCCCTCCATTTTTCTTTTCCTTTACTGACTGAGCCACCCTAGTAATGTGTTTGCTGAAGAACTCTGGCTGTTCCACCCTGTCACAGTACAATATTTTGGCTGCTGGCTCAGCCCAGGAACCTGAGGGAAGGATTAGGAGCCTGCTTTAACTTAAACAACTTTAATGGCATTTGAGGTGTTTTCAAATTCAAAAATAACAAAATATTTTATTTAACATTGAGGGGAAAGGTCTCCAAACCCCTTCTCTTGAAACACCAGTACTCATCTTGAGTTTTTAACTGACTCTTAAAGTCTCTAAACAGAGTTTTTAACCACACCAGACCAGGGATCTCTGCACTCTTCAGAGCTAACTCCCTGTTTGACTGGGTAAGGAAATTCTCCTCTCTATAGAAGATCTATCCCCTTTCTTTGGGCCCGAATGGGAGTCTCCATCTAGGAACCCACTCGTCCTTGCCAACTTTCCCCCAGTTCTCCTGTCTGTGTTAAACTGCTCTCAGTCAAGACTGAATTCCTACTGAATTCTCCTCAGCATTCAGCTCTAAAGTCCCTCTGCTCAGCTGATGCTAACCAATTCAGATTGCTTGGAGCAGCCTGTCACTTAATTAAGCCTTCACAGTCCTTCAGCTGTTTGTACAGCACTTCTAAGCTTCTTAAAAGTGCAGTCACAGGGAATGCCCCATTCCCTGTGAGTGCTGGATGACCAAGATTTTACAGTATATAAAAGACAACATAATGCCTAATACCTGGAAGTAGTAGTCCTCTGTTTCTCAGAGACGGAATCTGACCAAGTAACAAGCACAGACTGAGAGGACATAACTCGAACAGTGATGTCTTTTGCCTCTTCTTGTTCCTCCTCCTCTGAAATTAAACCATAACAGTGAGTCAGTAAGGAGAATTATGTGCATATCTAATGTTGCATATGATCCAGTATTGACAGATTACTTAAGTAGTACTGAGGAAAGGCCCCTTAGCTCAACATGCAACACAGTGAAGAGGTCACATACCATTGTCTGTTAACCATGGGGTTTGCTGTCTGAAGAACCTGTTTATTAATGATTTGGAGTTGGGAGTAAGCAGTGAAGGGGCTAAATTTGCAGATGACATGAAGTTGTTCAGGGTGGTGAGAACCAGGAAGGATTGTGAGGCACTCCAAAGGGATCAGTCGAGGATGGGCGAGTGGATCAGTCGAGGACATGGCAAATGGGGTTCAATGTGGCCAAGTGCAAAGTGATGCACATTGGAGCCAAAAATCCTAACTATAAATACACGTTGATGGGGTTCGAACTGGCAGACACTGACCAAGAGAGAGATCTTGGAGTCACAGTAGATAACTCAGTGAAAATGTCGAGATAGTGTGTGACCGCAATAAAAAAGGCCAACTCTATGCTGGGGATTATTAGGAAGGGAACTGAAAACAATTCAGCCAGTATCATAATGTATAATCGATGGTGTGACCTCATTTGGAATACTGTGTACAGTTCTGATCACCACACCTCAAAAAGGATATTATAGCATTGGGAAAAATGCAGAAAAGTGCAACTAGAATGATAAAAGGGTTGGAACACTTTCCCTATGAGGAAAGGTTAAAGCGCTTAGGGCTCTTTAGCTTGAAGAAACGACAGCTGAGGGGTGACATGATTGAGGTTTATAAGATTATGCATGGGATAGAGCAGGTTGAGAAAGAAGTACTTTTCTCCCTTTCTCACAATACAAGCACTCGTGGGCACTCAATGAAATTGCTGAGCAGTTGGGTTAGAACAGATAAAAGGAAGTACTTCTTCACTGAAAGAGTGATTAACACATGGAATTCACTGCTACAGGTAGTGGTGGCTACAAGCATGGATGGCTTCAAGAGGGAATTAGATAAACATGGAGCAGAGATCCATCAGTGGCTATTAGCCACAAGGTATAGATAGGAACTCTGGGGCAAGTACTGTTCTATATTCTTGGTGCTTGGGGGGGACAGTGGGAGAGCTTCTAGTGTCCTGGCCCCACTGATGGACCTCCTGATGGCCCCTGGGATTTTTGGCCACTGTGTGACAGTGTTGGACTGGATGGGCCATTGGCCTGATCCAACATTGGCTTCTCTTGTGTTCTTATGTTAAGTTGCTTGTATAAAGAAACTGATCTCAGGGTACTAAGTAACCTGAAATCTGCTTGAGCACTCATATCCACTAGTCTTTGTTTAAGTGTCTGGCTATAGAGGGATCAAAGCTCCTTAGGTATTCCTCTGAAAATCCTTATCTAGGGACTGAAGACTATATTGGGAAAATTGGGAGTGCTATGACTAAAGTTACAAAAGTTGACAATAGGAAGAAAAAGATCTTCAACCAAAATTTAACAGCAATTTTATGAACGAATATCACTACAAGGGTAAAGATAATTCTGATCTGACAATAATTGGGTACTCCCAAAAACATACATGCAAATGTATTTGGTATGACTTTCAGAGAGTATAAATCGTAATGAATCAAATTGAATACCAAACTTGTAATACCAGGTTAACAAGCCTTATTGTTAACTAATAAGATCGTTGATATGTATTAGCTTTCCTTCCCCCAAACCAATAGATTATAAAGAGCCTTTCAATGAAAGAAATTATTAAAATGACAAAGATCTATTAAGATAAAACAGTCCTAAAAACAGAGATCTTCAAAGCTTGATCATGCAGCAGGATGCCATCTTGCCCTTCACCCTCCATTTTCTCACTGTTTATCCTACTAAGTCATGCTACCTATTGAGTAGCCAAGATTAGTTTTAGATTTTAAGTTGCAGCTGATTGTCCTCTTCATTCAGGCCAAACTCTAAACTCTCCCTTCGAAGACCTATTTGTACTGACAGACTAGCACAGCCATCTTGAGGTCAGGACGTTGGAAAGCGCCTCCAGCTTCATCTTTGATCTCCTGCTCCTCCTACTGGAGCTCAGGATGGAGGCTGCAGCTTCATTTGTCACTGTCTGTTCAATTTCCAGTGCTAACTAGCAGTGTTCCCTCTAAGCTGAGTTGTGTGAGCTAGCTCAGTTTTTTAGCCTCCGCTCACACATTTTTTTCTTGGCTCAGGAAGGATGGCTCCAGAGCAAACTACTGTACGCAGCAGCCAAATCACCAGTAGCTCACAAAATAGAATTTTTGCTCACAAGACTCCACAGCTTAGAGGGAGCATTGCTAACTAGTTACAGCTGGGTTTCCTGTGCTGTTTATCTGGAAATTAAGCCTTTTTTCCACTCTGAGTCTCAGCTTAGGTATGAAGCAGTAATGTGCAAGGAATCATAGTAACACATTTAACATGCAGTGCTCTCAACGAGGAACAAACCATAGCCTTTCCTGCTCTTTTTTCTCCCATCAAAACCTGTCAGACAAATGTCACTAATCCTGTTTCCCTCAGCATTCTTCAGATGCTTCTTCAGAGAAGGAACCTTCAAAGCTGTCTTAGTTCTTGCTTCTGGTGAAATCCAATGCTAATGCAGGGGTGCAAATTCCCCCTCAAACACCAAAAGATATTGCTAATTTTATTGAAACTCTGTTGACCTCCTGATAATCCCCAGATGTTTTGACTGTGGAGGAGCTCCCAAACTTGCTTCAGGCACAATTCTCCTGGCAATGATTTCTTTCTGCTTCCCACCCACATTCCAGGGGTTTAGAGATGATAACAATACTACATAGAAACAGAATACAGAGGCCAGGAATTCAGCCGGGATGGTGTGCTGTAGCAATTCCTTCATAGAGATGATATTTGTGGAAAAGTTAAGCAAGTCTTTAGTTCTGCTTAATGCCTTCCTGTGTCAGTCATTCTGTCATTTAACAAGGAAGAGCAGGAGTTCTTGCCTCTCTTGCAAGGGGCAGGAGAGCCAATGGAAAATCTGCATCGATTTCAAGTAGCTACGCTGCATTTAAAAAGTGAACTGAATTGTATTAAATGGAACACACTGGTGTTGATAATGTCTCCTGTGAGCATACTGAGGCAGGTACTAACGTCACAAAGTAACATTTAGGCACAGCTAAATGGCAATGATTTTCATCATCATAATATGCCATTTCAAAGTTTCTGATCTCCTTAGTTCAGACTTAGACCCATGCCAGCACCCACCAGAATACAGAAGCCTTTCCCTGGGACACCTTCCTCACCATCAGTGTTAGAGTACATGACCAAGAATATAGTAACATCCTATCCAGATGTGCTCCAAAAATAAAATAAAATGAGATCATGAATAGATACTGCTCTAACGTTTGCATGTAATGTGGGTGGGGGGAGCAGGGAAATAAAAGCATGCATGGAAATGACAGAACATTTATATATAAAATGTATGTGCAACCTGTCAAAAGACCTGCTCAAGGTGGCAGAACATACTTCCCCTCTCATTATCAGATACAGGAGTCATTACAAATACAATGAAACAATACTTGGGGGTGGGGTTGGAAATGTGTCATCATACTTCTTATAGTCAAAAAGCTGTTTCTCCAGATTCATGAATACCTGATCTCCACATGGACAAGAACCAGTGGTACTAAGAAGGAGATATAGCCCTTAAAGTACATGTAGTCTTTTAGCAACCCTGGTTCACAAACCTACACAGTCGGCTAACATTGTCATTGCCATGTAGCAGATACAGAACCAAGATATCATGACATGCAAATCTTCCCATTTAAACTGAATGCTCCGAGCTCTCTGCATCAGTCCTCCTCCTATTTTAGTCCTCTTGTCATTAAAAAGAAGCAAAACAAATCTGCATGTTTTGTATATAATAAAAAGTATAACCCAAACACATCTTAAGTCACTTGTAAAGCTAGACTATATATAAACAAATTAGATACCCCTTTCTAATCTGCACAAACACTGCACCATTAAACATTATTAGGCATGCAGTTTATATGCTCTGACTTCAAGAATATACCTTCAACTTTTCTCTTGGTTAAAGCAGCTCGATATGCAGGTTGACTCAGTGCCTGGGAAGACCTTGATGGCAGTGAAACCACATACACTGATTCAGATGCTGCACATAATAGGAAAACATATATAATTCTATTATCATTATTATAACAACAGTTTAAAAGCTGCCTGTTTTCAGGCAGAATTCTTGATTGATATGGGGGCGACGTTCAAATTACTGAAACATAGTTTGTTGCCACTAATTAGTATTAAGATTCATTTGAAATATCTGCAGCAAACATTCCTAATGTGGGTCTGGATTCAGATTCCACTACTCATACCCTGATATCTGTATCTGTAATTCAAACTTACAATGCAATTATGAGTGAGGTTTTTTAAATCATGTATATGTGCAGCAGTACGTGTAATCCAATTGCACATTTTTTCAACAGTTGATTTTTAACATATCAAAAGAGAACTTACCCATTCAAAGACAAATCTTAAATGTTTATTTAAAAAAACTAAGCACTTCTCCCTCCTCAAACTAGTTGTAAAGGTTATTTCCCCATTTCCCCCCCCCCAGCCAGAAAAATATAACTATGAACATTTCAAATTAGGAAAACTCACAATAGATGGGATTTATAAGAACATAAGAACATAAGAGAAGCCAATGCTGGATCAGGCCAATGGCCCATCTAGTTCAACACTCTGTCACACAATGGCCAAAAATACCAGGTGCCATCAGGAGGTCCAGCAGTGCGGCCAGGACACTAGAAGCCTTCCCACTGTTGCTCTCCAAGGTCTCAAGCAGAGAAAAAGCTATTTCCCAGACCTGTTACCTGAAGGCAGATTCAAAGTCCTTATGACCTCAGTGAGAATTTTGTTACACATGTATGCCAAGAGTCTTGAATTCCTAGGTACACAGGAGCTGAACAGAACTCCGGCATGCAGGAAAAGGGGCTTCAGCTTTACCATTTTGCGAACTGAAATGGCTCAGGGAACTGCTATTCGCTACATGTTTTCCAGTGGAACGGAGGAAACAGCAGCTTCCCAGGGTCACTTCAGTTCATGTAAAGGGCACAGAGGCAGAGAAGCTGAAGCCCCTTCTCCAAACACAGTCGAAATTGAAATCTGCCCCTCACATTCCGGCACATGTGATACAGAGTCTAAATGGCATCCATGAGGAGTATGTATTGTGTGAGTTGGCCCTATAACCCATTTACCAGGAGATGGCAGGGCTCTGGCAATCAGATATTCAGGTTGCCAGGTCTCCCCTGGCCAGGGGTCATTTCGGGGGGGAACGCAGGGGAACACAGTTCCCCCGGGTGAGGTGCAGGGGGGCGGGGCACATGACGAAGCCCCGCCCCCTGCTTCCGGCTGCCTCGCTTCCAGCCCTCATTCAGCCAGGAGGAGGCAGGAGAAGAGGGAGGGTAAGTTGCTTCCTGCCCGCCTCTCCCCACCCCTGCCTGCCTGGGGCCAGGGAGGGCCTTGGCGGGGCTTCCTCGCACTCCCCCTGGCCTTGCAGGTCCACTGCCGGGCCCCTGATGTCAGGGTGTGTGGCATATGCTAATGAGTTATGCTAATGAGTTCCCCTAGCTCTTTTTCTACAAAATGACCCCTGCCCCTGGCCATTGGTGGGGGATGGGAGGCAGGGTTACCAGATCCAGGTTCCGAAACTCCTGGAGAACTGGGGATGGAGCCTGGAGAGGACAGGAACCTCACTAGGGTATAACACCAGTACGTCCACCCTGCAAAACACCCATTTTCTTCATGGGAATTGATCTCTGTAGTCTGGAGCTGAGTTGTAATTCTGAGGAATCCCCAAGTCATACCTTGAGGCTAGCATCTCTGTCAGATATAGTAACACAAGTTTGTATAAAGAGAGAAAGCCTGAATTTGAACACTGGCTTCCAGTACAATTGTATCAAGTCATTTTTCACTGTAATAAATAATCCAATGGATTCTTTAGCCATTACACTTTGGGTTTATTTCCCAGCCAGTATTTTGTGGGTTTTGGCGGCCCCTGGTATCTGTAAAACTCTCATCCAACACCACATTTCAAAGGAATCAACTCTGTTTTTGTCTGCTTTCTTCATTGTCCAACTTTCACACCCACACATAGTAATGGGGGGAATACTATAATGTGAATTATCTTGACCTTGGTGGCCAGCCACACATCCTGGCACTGGGATTCAGGGGCTGACTGCCTCTGAACTTGAAGATTCCCTCTAGTCACAATGGCTAGTAGCCACAGATAGACCTATTTTCCATGCTTCTATCTAATCCCTTTTTAAAGCTGTCTATATCTGTGACTTACGTCTTCTGGTAGCCAATTCCACATTTTAATCACTCGCTGTGTAATGTAAAGAAGTGTTTCCTTTTGTCTGTCCTGAATCTACTGCCCATCAGCTTCATTGGATGCCCTCGAATTCTATTATTTTTAGAGATGGGGGGAAAGTTCCCTTTGTTAACTCTTTCCACCCCATGTATAATTTTATAAACCTCTATTATATCCCCACTTAGATATCTCTTTCCTAAACTGATAAGTCTGAGACTTTTCGGCCTTTCCTCATAGGGAAGGTGCTCCAACCCCTTAATCATCTTGGTTGCCCTTTTCTGTACTTTTCCAGCTCTGCAATGTCCTTTTTAAAATACAGTGACCGTATTCCAAACGAGGCCACACCATCAAATCTATACAGGGGCAATATAATAGCTGTGTTATTCTCAGTCCCTTTCCTAATAATCCCTAACACAGAGTTTGCCTTTTTCACTGCTGCAGCATACTGGGTTGGCACTTTCATTGAGCTATCTACCACGGCCCCAAGATCTTTTACCTTCTCAGACTCAGCAAGTTCAGAACCCATTAGCCTATACTTGAAGCCTAAACTTGAAATTCGGATTTTTTGTCCCAATGTGCACCTAACACCAACATTCACATTAACGCACATGTAGCAAATTGCAAATTATCAATTTTATTTGCTTGTGAGGTTTACCGGCTTTTCTAAAGGATAAGGAAGCTGGAAAAAATACATGTGGTTTTCAAGGCAAGTCTAGGATAGGGTGTGGGTGTTCATCATTACCTATAAATTGCTCATCAGTACCTATAACTGCTTTCTTGGCAGCATTTAAAAAGCATAGTCAAACCCTTGATATAAGCATTTTAGGTACTTTCATTTCATTCAGTAACTTGTTTTAATGGTTAAAACAAACTATGGAACAAAATTACTAGGAGAAAGGAAAGTAGACAACTCCTCATTCCAAAATAATATAAACATGTCACTGTGCATGACATAAAATAGATGACTTAATTATCACAAAAATGTGACTTACCAAGTTTTTTCATCTCATTGTTTCGTTCTTCTTTTGGCAGTGGGATATAACTCATCTTTCTTTTGCTTTCTCCATATCCTGAGCGATGTATACCTGGATATCTATGTGGGCTCCTTAAACCTGAAGAATGGGGCAGCCTCCACCGTATGGATGACCTCTGAGGTGATGATTGGGTACGTACTCTCAAAGATCTGTTTGGCACTTTCTTCTCTTAAAAAAATGTAAAACACACAGACACACAAAATAAAGAGTTACTTTTAAGCTTTCTTCATGTGGTAGTGTTTGTTAAATATTTAATAGTGGAAGTAAACTTTTGAAATTATGCACCTATTAACTGAGCAGCAAAGAAATGAAAAGGGCCAGTGGTTCTGAGATGAACACAGAGGAATTTATAATAGAGAAAAAGAAAGGCACACAATCTCATACACACAGAAACATTATGTAGGCTGCGGTCACACTGGCAGCTTGGCACAGTATGGTGGTGCCTCATATTGAACCGGTTCAAAGTGCAATGGAGGATTCCATCCAGACCACACACCCTGTGGTGGGTTACCTGTGCAGCCATCCCATGGGAGGCACCCACATTAGTGTTGCGCTTCAACCATGGGACAAGCCGTAAGGATGGGTTTTATTTAAATGCAAGCAGATGGATGTGCATATGTGCTCATGCGCATATAGGCAGCAACTAAAAAAAAACAGTGGCAGAAATGGATCTGCAGGTTCAGATGTCCCTTCAGGGTTCCTTTCACTGCAGGGGAGTTCAGACGTCAGAAAATCCGGACGGAACCCCAAACAACCCATTAATACTGGACTTTCCCCAGTATCTGTTTATTCCACTTCCATTGTGGAAGAGCATGGGCTGCTGACAACTGTGCCATGGGAGGCAGATGTTCTCCTCTGGAGGGGCCCATTTATTCCATCCAGGTAACGCTACTATAGCACCACCAACAGTGCATGTCACTGCAGCCGTAGTCATTCGAATGGGTAGAACCCCCTTCGTCCACACCAGTCACAAGGAGGTTGTAGGCCTACGAAAGACCAGACTGATGTGTGTGGGGCAAGTCTGTGAGGGAAATACACTTCATAGGTATGCAGAGGTGCTTTCTTCTTGTTATCCTGAAGATTCAAAACAGATTCTAAGTCTGAATGCTGGAAGTCTGGACTCAAATTAATCCCCTTCCCAGAGGATTTCTTCAAATCTAATCATAATTATCATAATTAAAACAATAAACTACTGAATATAGTTCTAAGGCTTGTATTAGTGGAAGTCACATTACTTCTGGCTTGCAGTGATCTGACCTCTACTATAGATTTTTTTAAAAAATCACTTTGCCACCAACCTTATATATAAGCTCAAAATGATGCACTCTTTTTTCATGCATATCTTCATTATTTAAAAAAAAATCAAGGCAAGTCTAAAAATAAATATAATACACTTAATATAATTTAGAAATTGATTTTCAGAGATCTGATAACAGTTTTTTCTCCAGACACTTTCAAGTGGATTGCTGTTAAATGTATAGACAGACAATATACTTCAAGGCTTCAAACCAGAAATTCTGCTTAGCAGACTTCCTTCCCATCCTTTCCTATTCTCAACTTTATGAACAAAAAAGATTACATTGTAACAAGTGCATCACTAGATTATCTAACTCTCAAGCCCACTCCCTGAGTCCCCACCTCCAGCGGTGAGGCGGGTGGTGCCTAGAGATAGGGCATTTTCTATGGTGGCACCCTGCCTTTGGAATGCCCGCCCCCTTGAAGTTCACCTGGTGCCTACTTTACTTACTTTTAGGCACCAGGACAAAACACATCTTTATCTTACTATTTTTTATATATATTTTTCGTATGTGCATGTGTGAGTGCGCCTGGAAGTCATGGAGACCTCTGGTAACTGGTCTCTACTGGGGGGCTGGAGGATATTCAGAGAGGTGGCTGAATAAAGCCTGCCCCTGCCTCCCGACTGCTGGTATTTCAAGGAGGTCTCCCATCCAAGTACTTGCTAAAGTCGACCCTGCTTAGCTTCCAAGATCTGAAGAGACCGGGCTTGCCTGGGCTACCCAGGTCAGGGCTTATCTTACTATTTTTAATAGTCTACTTCTGTTTTATGGATAGTTTTTATGCTGCTTATGTCCAGTGGCTTGTTTTTAATATCGCTACGGGGTTTTAATTGTAAGCTGCCTCGAGCAGGACTCTGAAGGGGTGGCATAGAAATATCCTAAATAAATAAATAATATTGTTTCACTTGAAATGGCACAGGCTTGCTGCCAACAGTTCAGAAGCATAATGTACTACACCTACCGTATTCTCAGCCCTCTTCATGTATTTGATGAAACAGATCAGATAAGAAAATAAATAGGGCAGCCACACTCTCAGAACCTAGACAGACGCAATAATACGATCTGCTTTGCCAACTCCCTGTGCAACTCACGGAGCAGTTATAGATTTACCAGCCAGTTAAGATTAGTTTACAGATGCTGAGACATGTAATGTAATTCACACACAATGAGCCAGTAGGTCCAAGTCTTATAAACAATAAAATAATTTTGCAAGCAACTCAATACGATTCATTTGCAGAGCCACATGAATATTCCATTATACAGCATGTTTTATTCTAAAGAATTTAACAGGCTCGTTTTAGATAATCACAGACTTGGCACTTCCACATCCCTCTATTGCTCCCTGCTCTTTATTTTGCAGTAGCTGAGAGTTATTGTTAATTCTTTATGAAGACTGAATGTGCTCCTACTGGCCACATAATTTAACCAAACTGACTTTGGCAGGAAGAGAGTCTGCATTTGATCAGTTTTGCCTCCACCAATAAGCACCTCTGCTTTCCAACTGGAATTAGTGTAAAGAATTTTCACGGGACAAAGGAATCAAGAGAAACCAAATCATCCAGGAAACCACATGGAAAGTATTCCATTTAAAACATACATGGCTTGCAGCAAGAAACGATCTGTTTTAATTCTCTCTGATGGCTTCTAAAAATAGGTCTGTGCAGGTCTCTGGAGATTCCTCACCTTAGATCCACAAGGTGCTACTATTTGGGATTCAGTCCACGGTAGGCACACCCACCTCCACATGGACAGGCACTCTTGCTGCCCAAATAACCCATGGGGGCAAGCAGTCCAGGAGGAGGGAGAAGGCTCCAGTGTTCCCACAAACAGCCACTGGTTCTCAGACTGCCTCCTGTGCTATGTTCAATGATCCTTTGCCTCAGCAACACAGGAGCACAGGGGGACTTGCCAGTGAAGAAACTGTGACAACTATGAAAGCCTAAGTAGATGTTACAAACTGCACCGGTTCCTTACAGAGACTTGCCATGCCATTATATTGTAGCTCTTACTTCCTGTGGCAACTTGTGAGTAAATGCACAGCAGAGCCGAATTTGGATTGGGACCCTTTATGGGAGAAGAAGGAATCTCTGCCTTCTTCCCTGTGTGTTTTTTGGCAGCTGAAGCAGCCCAGGGTCAGCAGGGGAGGGGAGTGTGTTATTTGGTCTATTGGAGCCAGCATCCATACCGAGTGCTTGCAAATTCTAGAACCCCTATGGTTGCCAATCTCCAGGTGGGGCCTGGAGATCTTCTGCTATTATAATTGATCGCCATACAACAATCACCAGGTATTTCACCACCCAAAGCTGGCAACCTTACCCCACAGAAAAAAAAATAAAAGCCACCGCCCAAGGCTCCCAGGCTGGTTCAGCCACTAAGCATGGGGAGAAGGTGGGACTTCCTCCTTCTCCTGCATAGCAGTCTTGATCTGAACTGGGCCATGCTGCATGTTTATTCACAATTTGCCACCAGGAACTAGCAGCTACAGAATAGCTGCAAGTCCCCAAGACAGACTCGTTCAGTTTATAACATCTAGTTTGGCTCTGAGACCACATGAACCAGGACTAGAGGCAGCACAACATGCAACAATTCCTGGCCACACTCACAGGTGAAATGCTCTAGCTCCACAGGAGCATAATTACACCTTTCAGTTGTATGTACAGCCAACTGCAGCTGTGGGCTACACCATTCCAGCTCCACAGCCTATAGCTTTAATTGGTATGTCTTCCTCTCAAAAGTGTACCTGCAGGGCTGTAGTGATCAGGGGTGTGCACTGGATGGAATATGTTTTAACTCTGTATCATAACTTAAGAAAGCAAAGGTATATCAGTTTTAAGAATTCTCAGAAATGTTGTATCGGGAAGACTAGTCATGTTCCATTTCCATTTCCATTTAAGATCAGATCAGATGTCTGCCCATGATTTTTCATGCATGGAAAATGGCAGATCTTCCCAAGAGGACTGTTTTCACCAAATGGCATTAAAATATCAGGGAATCTAGTCCATGTTTTCTTCTAAAGACTGGCCAGGTTTTAAGAGAATTGGAGAACAGGGTCCAGTTTTACAGCCCCTTGAAAAAGGTGCCCCCAAACATCCTTTCTGCATAGTAGAAACATTTACAAAAATAGCCACCTGTTTTATGGAGCTGCATTTTTTCAACCAAACTTAGTAACTGTGAGTAAAAGTAGTACTCTCAGAATATCTGTCAAAAAGGAGGTAGAGAAATGGGTTTTATACCCCATTTTTCTGTACCCTAAGGAGTCTCAGGCTGCGGTCACACAGACTAAATAATCCACTTTCAATCCACTTTCCAACTGGATTTTTCCAGTTCACACAGTAAAAATCCAGCTAGAAAGTGGATTATTTAATGTGTGTGACTGCAGCCTCAAAGTGGCTTGCAATCACATTCCCTCCCCACAACAGGCACCATGTGAGGTAGGTGAGGCTGAGAGAGTTCTGAGAGAACTGTGACTGGCCCAAGGTCAACCATTAGGCTTCTTATGGAGGAGTGGGGGACCAAACCTGGTTCTCCAGATTAGAGTCTGCCACTCTTAACCACTACACCACACTGCCACTTAACTACTACACCCAGGGGTCATTTCGTAGAAAAAGAGGTACAGGAGCTCATTAGCATAACTCATTAGCATTACTTATTTTCATGTGCCACACCCCCGGACATCACTGGAAGTGTGTCAGAAGGTAACACCCACCATTAAGGT